ATAGACGATTTCTCTGTGCGCACTTAATCTAACAAACTCAACATCTGCTGCGATCCACACGTCTCTCTCTCTCTCTAGGGGGCAGCAGCTCCCAGGCGTGCTGACGGTGGCCAGAACGAGGGCTTCGGTCGACGTTTCGGGCAATGCCCCTCCTTCAATTTGGTGCGAGGCTTTGCATATGCGGATCTCAATTATCAATCACGATGCACATCGAGGCCTGGTATCTTCGCACGGCGTTTCTAGGGATGTCAAACTCTTAACCGGGCTCGCTCTCTCTCTCTCTCTGCCCGCTGCTTCTGCCGTGTGAAGAGCGGGGTGGGGGGGGTCCGGGACCCGTTGAGTTGTGGACATCGTCACACCCGCGGGACCCACCGCTGGGAACCGCGCGGGATAGAGCGTTGCACCCTCGCATGCGTGCGTTTTGTCAGGGTGCTCCGGTTTTTCTCCCACACGCAATAGGAGTAGCAGGGCTTTCTCAACCGGCGAAACTTAACGGTACTCCAATAGTAAATGTTGTCGTGGGGATACTCTCCAACACACCACCGGCTAGTAACGAATTGGCACGTGTTTGTTTACGTGACAAACCTTACTTATCGGCTGTGTCGGGTGGTAGGGAGCCGTCCATAAATGACGTCACGCACCTAGGGGGGGGGAGGGGGTCAGGCATTTTTGACGATGTGTGACTAGGGGGGGGTTTGAGAAATGTGACGTCACTTAAAAAATGCGCAACTTTAAATCAATGTTAATTAAATATTATTGTTATAACAACACTAATTGATTAATTTTCATGATTAAATATTTGATTATTTAAATTTACTAAGGTCACCGTTTATTTATTCCATTAAGGAGCATTTTGCTTCTCCATGGGAGAATGGAGAAGCTTACATTTTGAACATTTTTGGAATGATTGTTATTAAACATTTTGATTCTAATGATTCTACCAGGGCTTTCATTCTGTGGAATGAATATGTGATTGTTATAAATGTACTCTCCATTTTTCTTCGTTCTGCTACAAAGTTTAAAGTATTTTTTATAGTTATAATTACTTTTAATATTTTATAATTATAAGAGAATTTCAATATAATATTCTGAATATCTGCAGTTTTAGCTAGACGTTGAATATTTCCAAGTGAATTTTATGCAAAATTTCAGCTTTCCAACGCCTCCTTTTTAGTAAATGTTTTCTCCTACAACATCAGAGTGCAGCTCCACATTAAATACGCACTACAATGACGATATTTTAAAGTGATTTGAAGCATGTTTTATTTTCAAAATGGGAATACGGTTTTGGGGGTAGGGCAGAGCATTGTGACGTCATATTTGAGGGGGGGTCTGACTTTTTGTGACGCCGTGTGACGAGGGGGGGAGGGGGGGTCAAAAATCGGCCAAATCGCGTGACGTCATTTATGGACGGCCCCTAGTGGGTTTAACGTCACACTTTTATTTACGTGAGCTAACCCCAAAAACCTATATTATGGATACTGAAGATACATCAATAAAGGTGTCCAGTTTGGGCGAGGTAGTGCCTCCCCATCCCGCCATGGTTATACTGTATATTGTTGTTGTGGTTGTTGTTACGAATGGCTTTGTTACCATAGGAACAGGTATCGCAACAAGTCTGGCCCTCGAGACAAGAATCCACCCACATCACTGCTCCTGCTGCTCCTGCTGCTGCTACTACTGCTCCTGCTGCTGCTGCTGCTCCTGTTGCTGCTCCTGCTGCTGCTCCTGCTGCTGCTGCTCTTGCTGCTGTTGCTGCTGCTGCTCCTGCTGCTGCTCCTGCTGCTGCTGCTCCTGCTGCTCCTGCTGCTGCTACTACTGCTCCTGTTGCTGCTCATGCTGCTGCTGCTCATGCTGCTGCTTCTACTGCTGCTCCTGCTCCTGCTGCTGCTCATGCTGCTGCTGCTACTACTGCTCCTGTTGCTGCTCATGCTGCTGCTGCTCATGCTGCTGCTTCTACTGCTGCTCCTGCTCCTGCTGCTACTCATGCTGCTGCTGCTACTACTGCTCCTGTTGCTGCTCATGCTGCTGCTGCTCATGCTGCTGCTGCTTCTACTGCTGCTCCTGCTCCTGCTGCTGCTCATGCTGCTGCTGCTACTACTGCTCCTGCTGCTGCTCATGCTGCTGCTCCTGCTGCTGCTGCTCCTGCTGCTCCTACTCCTAGTCGAGGCCCTCTTCCGCCAGCAGTGGGATGATCAAAACAATTGCAGGACTTCGCCTTTACCTTTTATTCTGCCACAACTCTGCCGCCGTGCGGTTTGTACCGTGCGACGTTCTCGCGGTTCCAAAATGCCACCGAAGACGATTGCTCATTGTGGACGCTTTTGCTATCGGTTCACCGATGACGAAATCTTTGCTGTATCGCTTCACGGATTATCGGTGGTGGTTGGTGGTGGTGGTGGTGGCTTACTGAACGCAAGTGCCGGAGATGCCTTGGGCAATGCAAAGGGGTGGTAGGTGGTACGATTTCCAACACCGAGTTTTCACGAGATGAGTTTATCTTCAGAAATAGCTGCAGCATAAGCAGGAGATCTGTCATCCGAGTAAGGGTTGCTCACGCCTCATCATGAAGCTGTGGTTTCTTTATTCCCACGTGCAGCGATTGATTGTTTCGTTGTTGCCGTTGCCTCTTTACCCGAAGATAAACGAGCCTCCAGTCTCGCCAGTGACGGGAATTAATGTGTGGTGGCACGGGCCCAGAGCCCGAGTTTCAAATTAAAAACCCCACGGCCCACTTGCCAAGATAATTATGGGCACCTGGGTCGCTCCGTCGAGATGAATGTTGCACGTGCATCTGAAACTCATTAAAGCGAAATCGTTTTGTACGATGTAGGGGGGGAGGCGGTGTTCCACTCGACCCCCCCCCCCCAAATGATATTCACCAATAGAATAAAGTGGCCTTCAACCCTAAAGATATCCGAAGCCTTTCGTTGTCCGTGGTTCCCGAACCAAAACAAAAGCGGCGCACGCGGGCGACGACATCTCGAGAGAGGGAGCGAGATGGCTCCGACGACATCTCGAGAGAGTTGGCCCCGACGCCAGCGAGCAGAGAGAGGGGCCCGCTCTCGAAACGTCGCTCGACTCTGCACGCTGCGCAGATTAACACCCGGCAGGAGCAGGGCTTTCGCGACCAATCGTATCAATAGTAGAGGGTAATTTTTTTTGGGGGGGTTTGATCACGTAAATATAAATGTGTTGTCGTTAAACCCGCCACCACCCGACACAGCCAATTAGTAAGTGTTGTCACGTCAACAAAACATGCCAAATTCGTGACTAGTCCAGCACACACCGGTTGTGTGCTGGAGAGTAAACCCACCACAACATTTACCATTCGAGTACTGTGACGATCACGCCAGACATTACAACAACAACCGGCCTCAATCAGGCGGCAGGCGGAGAAATCCTCCTCCCTGTTTTGGCCTCAATTAGAGGGGACGTGGGCGGATGGGCCATGGCTGCTGTTGTGGCACCTCGAGTGGCAGCTGCGGACACATCTGCCCCTAAGGGGCCTCAAGTGGCCTCCACCCATTCGGGGCGTTGCGCCGCGCCCCTGAATGTTGACCCTCGTGCCTCGCCGCGCGAATTTCTCACGCGCGAGGCACAAATCGCGGCGGCCACCCCTTTGAGTGGCCCACGGGCCTTTCCTGAAGAGAACGGAGGGCGCGTCGTCAAGGCCACGTGTTGTTGTCTCTTTCAAGTCCAGCTTCCGCAACGTCTCGAGATGACGGATGCTCTCCATCGCTCTCGAGCAGTGGCTCTTAAACTTGGGGGGTGCGAGATGCCCTACGTGTTTATTAACGTTATTAAAAACAAGTTAACGATTGAGAATCAAATGTGTGCGAGGCTGCAGTAAGAGGTGAAGAAGCCCCGCTCTCGATGCATGACGCTGTCCCCGCGTGAACTGTTCTCTGAGCCTGGACGAGCTCTTTCGGTGTGGACTGGAGAGCTGTCTCCTCGTGGCGTGCGCGTCTCTGCAGCGACGGGGTCAAAGCGCGTCTCTCCAGCGACGGGGTCAAAGCGCGTCTCTCCAGCGACGGGGTCAAAGCGCGTCTCTCCAGGGACGGGGTCAAAGCGCGTCTCTCCAGGGACGGGGTCAAAGCGCGTCTCTCCAGGGACGGGGTCAAAGCGCGTCTCTCCAGCGACGGGGTCAAAGCGCGTCTCTCCAGCGTCGGGGTCAAAGCGCGTCTCTCCAGGGACGGGGTCAAAGCGCGTCTCTCCAGCGACGGGGTCAAAGCACGTCTCTCCAGCGACGGGGTCAAAGCGCGTCTCTCCAGGGACGGGGTCAAAGCGCGTCTCTCCAGCGACGGGGTCAAAGCGCGTCTCTCCAGGCGCTGGACCGTGGCCAGGGCCGTGGAATGGTCCTCGCGAGCGGAATTCTCTCTGAGCGCCGGGCCGGCACGCGGCCTCTCGGGGCTGCTGAGCAGTGTCAGATTTCACATAATCATCTGCCCCAGCTGCGAGCCAATTACAAATTGGTTTAGTAAATTAAATACATTTCTTAGGGGGGGAGGGTCGGGGGGAGAACTCGTGCGTGATGTGATCAGATGACAGCATCGGTCCCTGGCAGGGGTAGGTCTGTGTCGGTGGTGTTGGGGTAGCACTCCTTGGTGACTACTTTTCTCTTGTCGTGTCGGCCTCCACACACACCGTGAGATTGGTCATCACCCCGGCCTCGGGGTCACTAAAACCCTGAACCAGTGGCCCCTCTCCGGAGCAAAGACAGAGAGAGAGGTCACGGAATGTCGCTTAGTTTGCACGGCTACAGGGTAGGCGATCCCTTATTAAAAGGAAGCAGTCTGCTGTGATGAAGGTCGACGCAGCAATACCGGGAATGTGGTACCCGAGCACAGATCAGCAGCCCGGTGACAACACGAAGTCACGGTGGGGGTCACGGTGGGGGTCACGGTGGGGGGTGACGCGAGCCTCAGGGCGCGACCACGAGCCAGGCGGGCCACGCGTGTGAGGAGGCCCCATCGAGGCACCACCAGCCACTGCTGCTGCTAGCCCAGCTCACGGTGGCCCTCCGCTGTGGGAGGCGGAGCTGGGCTGGCAGGAGGCTCTGCGAGCCGCGTGGGGCACAGCGCGGCAGCAGCGGCGGCCACTCCGGGGCCCGGTGGCCTGACGCTGGGGGCCACGCAAACAGCGACTCTCAGCACGCGCCCCGCAGGATGGGCCCTCTGGGCCCTCCCGACCCTCACTCTGATGAGACGCTGGATATTGAAACCGTTTATGGGTGGGGGTTGTGTGGGTGGGGGCGTGGTTAGTGGGTGGGGGCGTGGTTAGTGGGTGGGGGCGTGGTTTGTGATTGGGGGCGTGGTTAGTGGGTGGGGGCGTGGTTTGTGATTGGGGGCGTGGTTAGTGGTTGGGGGTGTGGTTAGTGGTTGGGGGCGTGGTTAGTGGGTGGGGGCGTGGTTAGTGATTGGGGCGTGGTTTGTAATTGGGGGCGTGGTTAGTGATTGGGGGCGTGGTTAGTGATTGGGGGCGTGGTTAGTGGTTGGGGGCGTGGTTTGTGATTGGGGGCGTGGTTTGTGATTGGGGGCGTGGTTAGTGATTGGGGGCGTGGTTTGTGATTGGAGGCGTGGTTAGTGGTTGGGGGCGTGGTTAGTGGGTTGGGTAGGCGTTGCTAGTCGGGGGACGGGGGTTGTGGGTGGTTAAGGGTGGAGGCGTGGTTAGTGGGTGGGGGCTTGGCTTGCGAGTGGAGGCGTGGTTAGCGGCTGGGGGCGTGGTTTGTGAGCGTGGGCGTGGTTGTATGGGGGCGTGGTTAGTGATTGGGGGCGTGGTTAGTGATTGGGGGCGTGGTTAGTGATTGGGGGCGTGGTTTGTGATTGGGGGCGTGGTTGGTGATTGGGGGCGTGGTTTGTGATTGGGGGCGTGGTTAGTGGTTGGGGGCGTGATTAGTGGGCGGGAAGTGGCTCGCTTGGGGGCGTGGTTAGTGGGTTGGGTAGGCGTTGCTAGTCGGGAGACGGGGGTTGTTGGTGGTTAGTGGGTGAGGGCGTGGTTAGTGTGAAGGCGTGGTTAGTGGTTGGGGGCGTGGTTTGTGGTTGGGGCGTGGTTTATGAGTGTGGGCGTGGTTGTAAGGGGGCGTGGTTTGTGTGTGGGGGCGTGTTTTGTGTGTGGGGGCGTGGTTGTAAGGGGGCGTGGTTTATGAGAGTGTGCGTGGTTGTAAGGGGGCGTGGCTCGTGTAAGGGGGCGTGGTTTGTGTATGGGGGCGTGGCTTGTGTGTGGGGGCGTGGTTTGTGTGTGGGGGCGTGGTTGTAAGGGGGCGTGGTTTATGAGTGTGGGCGTGGTTGTAAGGGGCGTGGCTCGTGTAAGGGGGCGTGGTTTGTGTGTGGGGGCGTGGCTTGTGTGTGGGGGCGTGGTCTGGGTGCGCGCTGCAGGTAAGCGGGGCATTCTCACCTCGTCCCGGAGCCGTACGCAGGTGAGAACACAACGCGGTACACAACACAGACAACAACACACACAACACACACAACACTACACACACAGCAGCACACACACAACACCACACACACAACACCACAAACACAGCACACACACACACAACAACAACCGCCATTCGCTACTAAGTGGCGGTGACGTCACCACGACGCTTGTGCCAGGCCATGTGCACCTTGAGGCCACGTGAAGTGTCGAACGCCCACTGGCAAGGAGGTCACGGGGCAGACCCAGTTGCCACGGGTCGACTGACTGAGATGACCGAGATGACTGGCTGATGCACCATAACATAACACAGGACCACACACACAGCACCACACACACACAGCACCACACACACACAGCACCACACACACAGCGCCACACACACAACACCACACATACCCACAGCACCACACACACACCACACACACAGAACCACACAGACAGCACCATACACACAGCACCATACACACAGCACCATACACACACAGCACCACACACACAGCACCACACACACAGCACCACACACACAGCACACACACAGCACCACACACACAACACCACACACACAACACCACACACACAGCACCACACACACAGCACCACACACACAGAACCACACACACACCACACACACACAACACCACACACACACAACACCACACACACACAGCACCACACACACACAGCACCACACAGCACCACACACACACAGCACCACACAGGACCACATAGCACCACACACACAGCACCACACACACAACACCACACAGAACCACACACACAGAACCACACACAGACAGAACCACACACACACAGCACTGTGCTCTACTCCACACGACACAACGCCGCTACACACGGTGCACACGCACCACGACACGCATAAGTGCGTACACACACACTGTGAGTACACACACTGTGAGTACACACTACACACACTGTGAGTACACACTACACACACTGTGAGTACACACTACACACACTACACACACTGTGAGTACACACACTGTGAGTACACACTACACACACTGTGAGTACACACACTGTGAGTACACACACTGTGAGTACACACTACACACACTGTGAGTACACACTACACACACTGTGAGTACACACTACACACACTACACACACTGTGAGTACACACTACACACACTACACACACTACACACACTGTGAGTACACACTACACACACTACACACTCTGTGTGTACACACTACACACACTGTGAGTGCACATACTGTGAGTACACACTACACACACTGTGAGTACACACTACACACACTACACACACTGTGTGTACACACTACACACACTACTCACACTGTGAGTACAACCTACACACACTACACACACTACACACACTGTGAGTACACACTACACATACTGTGAGTACACACTACACACATTACAAACACTACACACACAGAAAGTTAAAACTCGCTGATCACACACAGAAAGTCAGAACTCGCTGATCACACACAGAAAGTCAAAACTCACTGATCACACACAGAAAGTCAAAACTCGCTGATCACACACAGAAAGTCAGAACTCGCTGATCACACACGGAAAGTCAAAACTCACTGATCACACACAGAAAGTCAGAACTCGCTGATCACACACGGAAAGTGAAAACTCGCTGATCACACACGGAAAGTGAAAACTCACTGATCACACACAGAAAGTCAAAACTCGCTGATCACACACAGAAAGTCAAAACTCGCTGATCACACACAGAAAGTGAAAACTCGCTGATCACACACGGAAAGTCAAAACTCGCTGATCACACACCGAAAGTCAGAACTCGCTGATCACACACCGACAGTGAAAACTCGCTGATCACACCCCACACTCGTCCTGTCCACATGTTTCACCCCCACGCTGCCCAAACGAATCGCTTCCCCAGAACGCCGTGTGGGCTGATGGGATGTGTTACACAAAATACTCGGCAACTTTTCCGTCTTAGATTAGAGAGATATAGAGATGTGTGTGTCCGTGAAGGTTGAAGCGCAACGCCTGAACGCCGCCGCTGACGAGACTCACTGGCTTGGCTGTGGAAGCCGGTCGCGAGGTTTGCTGTGTGTGTCAGAGGTCGCAACCAGGTACCCGATACCCGTACCCTACCCGATACCCGGCTACCCGTACCCGACCGGATACGGGTACGGGTAGCCATTTGCGACCCTGGTGCGGCCGGGTACGGGTAAGGAATCAAAACCGTTCGCGACCTCTGCTGTGTGTTGAACCAACTCTGCCGAAATTAGGCGCTGTGCAGAAAGCCGCGTGGGCTGATGGGATGTGTTTACAATAATGTTTTATGTGGAGGGACAGATGTGCGAAGGGAGAGTTCTGTCCGCTCAGTTATTGTCGTTCTATTGTAGTCGGGGTGTGTCTTTTACACACACACACGTTACATACAGAGTGGTCCAATCTCGTAAGCTAAGCAGGTGTTTGGCCTGGATAGTGCTTGAATGCGCGATCAGCGTGGGGCAGTATGGTCAAATACCACCACCCCCTCATCATCCAGCAGTGGAGTGGCACAGGAGCTTGCACAACATCACGTGGTACATTCACGAGGATTGCGTTCGCAAACTCTCAACCGGTTTTGAAATTCCGGGCTTTTATCAGTCGAGTCAAGATTGTTAAACAAATACTACCGTGTTAGTACTACTGCTGCTGCTACTATCACCCGCTGTTGTTGTTGTCGCTGAGGGTATGTGGGTAGAAGAGTGAGTGAGGGTGATAGCGGGTGTGGGTGTGAGAGCGGGTGTGGGTGAGAGAGTGGACGAGTGTGGGTGAACATCTTCGCCAGTTAGAAACATTTAGGCTGTCCTGCCTACGACCCATCCTAGGTTTAACCTGCAGGCTGGATTGTGTGAGGAGCTCTCAAATCCTTGAAAGATCTGGACAAAGTCCCATCGGTGAGCTCCTCCGGCAGGCAAGGCTGCGTTGGCTGGGTCATGTAGCCCGCATGCCCAGCCACCGCATGCCGAAACAGCTTTTGTTTGGCCGGATTGAGGGGGCTAAACGGGCGCGGTACGGGCTAGAAAAGAGATGGAGTGATGTGGTACAGGAGGACGTGGAGCTGAGTGGACTTGCCGATGAGTGGTACCAGCGGTGTCAAGATCGGCCTCTGTGGAGGAAGCTACTGGAGTTCGTGTTTGCTTTGATGCTGGGGGGGGGGGGGGGGGGGGTTAGAGGTAATGTTGCCTCCATGGTTGAGATCGGCAGATTGGGGGGCTTTTGAGTCGAGTCTTGTATTGAGGGGTTGTGTGGCGTTATTCTTGAGGCTCGCATTCGGGGAGGGGGGGGTCACGTCTGGTGGAAGCCGGGACTCGGGGTGAGGAAGCCGGGACTCGGGGTGTGGAAGCCGGGACTCGGGGTGAGGAAGCCGGGACTCGGGGTGAGGAAGCCGGGACTCGGGGTGTGGAAGCCGGGACTCGGGGTGAGGAAGCCGGGACCTCGGGGTTGAGGAAGCCGGGACTGCGGGGTGAGGAAGCCGGGACTGCGGGGGATGAGGAAGCCGGAACTACGGGTGAGGAAAGGCCGGGACTCGTAGGTGAGGGAAGCCGGGACTTCGGGGTGATGAAGCCGGGACTCGGGTGTGAGCCGGGACTCGGGGGTGAGGAAGGCCGGGACTCGGGGTGAGGAGAGCCGGGACTCGGGGTGAGGTAAGCCGGGACTTCGGGGTGAGGAAGCCGGGACTCGGGGGTGAGGAAAGCCGGGACTCGGGGTTGAGGAAGCCGGGACTCCGGGGGATGGAAGCCGGGACTCGTGGTGTGGAAGCCGGGACTTCGGGTGAGGAAGCCCGGACTCGGGGTAGGAAGCCGTGACTCGGGGTGAGGAACCGGGACTGCGGGGGAGGAAGCCTGGACTACGGGGATGAGGAAGCCGGGACTTCCGTGGTGATAAGCCGGGACTTCGGGGTGAGGAAGCCGGGGACTTCGGGTTGTGGAAAGCCGGGATTCGGGTGAGGAAGCCGGACTCGGGGTGTGGAAGCCGGACTCGTGTGAGGAGCCGTGACTCGGGTGTGGAAGCCGGGACTCGGGGTGAGGAATCCGGGACTCGGGGTGAGGAAGCCGGGACTCGGGGTGTGAGGAAGCCGGGACTCGGGGTGAGGAAGCCGGGACTCGGGGTGAGGAAGCCGGGACTCGGGGTGAGGAAGCCGGGACTCGGGGTGAGGAAGCCGGGACTCGGGGTTGTGGAAGCCGGGACTCGGGTGAGGAAGCCGGGACTCGGGGTGAGGAAGCCGGGACTCGGGGTGTGGAAGCCGGGACTCGGGGTGAGGAAGCCGGGACTCGGGGTGAGGAAGCCGGGACTCGGGGTGTGGAAGCCGGGACTCGGGGTGAGGAAGCCGGGACTCGGGGTGAGGAAGCCGGGACTCGGGGTGTGGAAGCCGGGACTCGGGGTGAGGAAGCCGGGACTCGGGGTGTGGAAGCCGGGACTCGGGGTGAGGAAGCCGGGACTCGGGGTGAGGAAGCCGGGACTCGGGGTGTGGGTGCCGGGACTCGGGGTGAGGAAGCCGGGACTGCGGGGTGAGGAAGCCGGGACTCGGTGTGAGGAAGCCGGGACTCGGGGTGAGGAAGCCGGGACTTCGGGGTGAGGAAGCCGGGACTCGGGGTGTAGGAAGGCCGGGACTTCGGGTTGGGGTAGCCGGGACTCGGGGTGATGGAAGCCGGGACTCGGGGTGTGAGGGAAGCCGGGACTTCGGGGTGAGGAAAGCCGTGACTCGGGGTGATGGGTAGCCGGGACTCGGGTAGGAACCGGGACTACGGGTGTGAGGTAGCCGGGACTTCGGGGTGATGGAATCCGGGGACTCGTGGTGTTAGGAAGGCCGGGACTCGGGGTCCATGGAAGCCGGGACGCGGGGTGTGGGAGCCGGGACCTCGGGGGTGGAGGAAGCCGGGACTCGGGGTGAGGAAGCCGGGACTCGGGGTGAGGAAGCCGGGTACTGCGGGGTGTGGAAGCCGGGCTCCGGGGTGTGGAAGCCGGGACTTCGGGGTGAGGAAGCCGGGACTTCGGGTGAGGAAAGCCGGGACTTCGTGGTTAGGAAGCCGGGACTCGGGGTGAGGAAGCCGGGACTCGGTGTGGAAGCCGGGACTCGGGTGAGGAAGCCGGGACTCGGGGTGAAGCCGGACTCGGGTGTGGAAGCCGGGACTCGGGTGTGGAAGCCGGACTCGGGGTGAGGAAGCCGGGACTCGGGGTGTGGAAGCCGGGACTCGGGGTGAGGAAGCCGGGACTCGGGGTGAGGAAGCCGGGACTCGGGGTGTGGGTGCCGGGACTCGGGCTGTGGGTGCCGGGACTCGGGTGTGGGTGCCGGGACTCGGGGTGAGGAAGCCGGGACTCGGGGTGAGGAAGCCGGGACTCGGGGTGTGGGTGCCGGGACTCGGGCTGTGGGTGCCGGGACTCGGGGTGAGGAAGCCGGGACTCGGGTGAGAAGCCGGGACTCGGGGTGTGGGTGCCGGGACTCGGGGTGTGGGTGCCGGGACTCGGGGTGAGGAAGCCGGGACTCGGGGTGAGGAAGCCGGGACTCGGGCTGTGGGTGCCGGGACTCGGGCTGTGGGTGCCGGGACTCGAGCTGTGGGTGCCGGGACTCGGGCTGTGGGAGCCGGGACTCGGGCTGTGGGTGCCGGGACTCGGGGTGTGGGTGCCGGGACTCGGGGTGTGGGTGCCGGGACTCGGGCTGTGGGTGCCGGGACTCGGGGTGTGGGAGCCAGGACTCGGGGTGTGGGTGCGCTGTGGGTCGACACGAGTGGCGCGTGGCAGGAGGCAGGGGAGGCGAGGCGGCTCTGGGCCGCTCGTGTCGCAGGTTTCAGGTGGAGACGGCGAGAGTGCCTGGGGCTCGGGCGGTCGGGCGCCCAGGGGCACAGCGCACAGGGCACAGCATTCAGGGGCACAGCGAACAGCGCACAGCGCTCAGGACACAGGGGGGGCCTGACTGGGGCGGTGCGGCAGGCAAAGGTCGCCGCTGCGCCGTCTGTCGCGTCCTCAACCCCGCGCAAGGTGACCGCGAGTGCGGGGACATCTGTGTGTGTGTGTCTGTGTGTCTGTGTGTATGTCTGTGTGAGTGTGCGCCGCGCGTCGTCCGATGTCAACAGAATGCGCGTGTTGAGTATACAGCGGGCGGATGGGGTGGTGGAGGTGTGGGTGGTGGTGGGGGTGGTGGGGGTGGAGGTGGTAGTGGTGGGGGGGGGGGGTGGTGGTGGGGGTGTTGGTGGGGTTGGAGGTGGTGGTGTTGGGGGTGGTGGTGTTGGGGGTGGTGGTTGGGGGTGGTGGGGGTGTGGTGTTGGGGGTGGTGGTGGTGGGGGTGGTGGTGGTGGGGGGGTGGGAGTGGTGGTGGGGATGTTGGTGGGGGTAGAGGTGGTGGGGGTGGTGGTGGTGGGGGGGTGGGGGTATTGGTGGTGGTGGTGGTGGGGGGGTGGGGGTATTGGTGGTGGTGTTGGTGGGGGTGTTGGTGGTGTTGGTGGTGGGGGTGGTCACCTCTCGCCCTCTACCACCCCCGCCTGCCGGCGGGCGGTTTGACGTTCACCTGCGGGAGAGCGAAGTGGCCTCATTCTCCCTGGCTGCACTCCGCTCGCTCTCCCTCCCTCTCGCTCGCTCTCCACTCACGAGCACTCCCCCGGGGCCTCTCTCCCTCTCTCTCCCTCTCTCCCCCTCTCTCCCCTTTCCTCACGTCCACTCTTCACCTCCACCCCCCACCTCTCTCCACTGGCAACTTGAGTTTCGCTTCTCCCCACGGCGATGCGCGTCGCCGGAACCCGTTGTGCACCTTCTGGGTGCCGTGGCGCCGGAGCTGTCGGGGTGGGGCGTCGGTTCCCGTGAGCAAGAGGGTGGCGACCGCCGAGTGACATGATCATCCGGGCAGCGGCCTGCCCTTCTCTCCCGCTTGCGGCACAGAATTCCACGATCCAGTGGCGTAGTCACGAGGGCTCCCTCCCCTTGGACAACTCACAATGTGGTTCGAATTTTATTGACCCCCCCCCCCCCCGGAGGGATTGTGGGCTGAAACAAGGCCCCACCCCAAACAGGATTTGAACTCCGTGACCTCTAACTCAGGGGGGCCGTTGGGGGATGCGCCGCTGGCCGGAGGAGCCGCGATCGTCGCGTGGTGCGAGGGGGGAGCCCGCAAGGCGTCCGTGTCCGTTGGTTCGCGACCGGCACCGCCGTGGCGCCTGCCGCCGTTTCCCCAGGAACTGGTTGCAGGCGATCTTCGTCCGTGGTTTAAATAATAATAATTTGTATTACTGGTGCGGGGTGGCGCGCGCATTCACGACGGTCAGGGAGCGCCGGCGTGGAGCATCGCTGTTGGTGAAGTCCGTTGGTCAAGGATCCAAAACCTAAGCGTGATAATCCTCTCGCGTTGCTTCCCCAAAGCCACCGCTCAAGGGCAGCTTCCCAGGCCGGCCCTCGTCACACCTGGCCAGATGGCATCTGCAGTAAACCCCCACCCCCACCAACCCCACCATCGCCACCACCACCGCCACCACCGCCACCACCGCCACCACCGCCCCACCCGACCCCACCCCGAGTCCGCGGTGTGTTGTGCTTGTACACTCCCCTGTCGGGCAGCACAAGCGAGCAGCGGCCACAGCGTGGCAGGGATACAAACACAAAATAATAACCATTTCAGCGGACAGACGACGGGCGCCGGCCGTCCGCGTGCGTGACGCGAGGTCGCGCCGTGTGACCCCCCCGCGACCCCCGCGACCTCGCAGGGGTCGCGCTGTGACCCCCCCGCGACCCCCGCGACCTCGCAGGGGGCCTGGAGATTGATTTGCTCTCCCGGCTACTTTCGCCATCATCATTATCATTGTCCCTAAATTCAAGGGCCATTTGCCTGCATTCAAAATATTTATTGTAGGGAGGGGGGAAATCACCTGCCCCGGCCTTGGATGCGGCGCGCGATGCCGGTCGGCGCGGATCACGCCGCCGATGGAGCAGCGAATTGCCGCAGTGCTCGCGGCGTCCTGTGATTCACCCCCCCCCCTCTACCCCCCCCTACCACCCCCCCCTCTACCACCCCCCCCCCCCTCTACCCCCTCCCCTCTACCACCCCCCCCCCTCTACCACCCCCCCCTCTACCACCCCCCCCCCTCTACTACCCCCCCCTCTACCACCCCCCCCCCTCTACCACCCCCCCCCTCTACCACCCCCCCCTCTCTACCACCCCCCCCCCTCTACCACCCCCCCCCTCTACCACCCCCCCCCCTCCACCACCCCCCCCCTCTACCACCCCCCCCCTCTACCACCCCCCCCTCTACCACCCCCCCCCCCTCTACCACCCCCCCCTCTACCACCCCCCCCTCTACCACCCCCCCCCTCTACCACCCCCCCCCCTCTACCACCCCCCCCCCTCTACCACCCCCCCCCCTCCACCACCCCCCCCCTCTACCACCCCCCCCCTCTACCACCCCCCCCTCTACCACCCCCCCCCCTCTACCACCCCCCCCCTCTACCACCCCCCCCCCTCTACCACCCCCCCCCCCTCTACCACCCCCCCCCCTCTACCACCCCCCCCCCTCTACCACCCCCCCCCCCCTCCACCACCCCCCCCCCTCTACCACCCCCCCCCCTCTACCACCCCCCCCTCTACCACCCCCCCCCCTCTACCACCCCCCCCCTCTACCACCCCCCCCCTCTACCACCCCCCCCTCTACCACCCCCCCCTCTGCCACCCCCCTCCTCTACCACCCCCCTCTACCACCCCCCCCTCTACCACCCTCCCTCTACCACCCCCCCCCCCCCCCCCCAGTGATTCCATAAATCATTGCGATTTCAAGTTGCAATTTGATTAAAGGATTGTTCGTGGGGTGTTTTTTTTTCTGTCTCGTTATTTAGTTTTTTACTGCCCCTTTAGTCTTGCTTAGTTGTCGTTGCTGCACTCGTTAGTCTAAATGTCCCGACAGGTTACCTTTGGATAAAATACTAAATGATTGATTCTTACACCCAGGGCTCAATGCCCCTCCCCTCCCCTGTCCCGCCAGTACGAACTTAGTGAGAACCACGTGCTTCTCAATGGAACCCACGGTGTAACATCCGGGGTGAAGCGCCTTCGTTCCTTCCTTGCTGCAGAGTGATTGATGCTCCTGCACTCCACTGATTCACTAAAGTCGCTCCTTCGGCAGAAGCCAATAGCCTCCTTTACTCTTCAATCACGACAACCATGGTCGCTGCTCCCGTGAACTTCGCTCGTTCGTAGCCTCCGCTCGAGTTGAGGACTCGGACTCCCAGACCGCTTGGTCTCATCCTCACTGCGTTCACCCACCATCACACTGCCGGTCAGCACTCTCACTCACCCATCCACTCATTCACCCATCCACTCACTCACCCAACCACCCACTCACTAACCCACTCACTCACTCACCCACTAACTCACCCACTCACTAACTCACTCACCCACTTACCTACTCACCCACCCACCCACTCACCCAATCACCCACTCACCCACTCACTCACCCACCCACTCACTCACCCACCCACTAACTCACCCACCCACTAACTCACTCAGCCACCAACTCACTCACCCACCCACTCACCCACCCACCTACCCACTCGGCCACAGCACTGCAGGTCACAACATGTCTCTCTGCCTGCTTATTCCCTCGCACTGCGTCTCCCTCCCATGGTCGCTTTTCCAAAGCTCTTATTATAATAACCTTGCTCAGATCAACAACATCACACACATCTTACACACATCTTACACACACTCTCTTATCTATTAAAACCGTCACCGCGCTGTTGCTAATTATAACCTCGCTCAGAACAACAACAAAACACTCTTATTTATTACAACAATAATGATGATATCGTTGTCCATGGGAGAAAAAAAAAACTGCTTCGTTGAGATCAAGTCCAACACGCTCGAAAGGTTGTCCTTCTGCCAAACTAATATTTGGTAAACAATTTAATATAAACCTTTCATGAAAAAAAATATTTAAAATTGTACAAAAATCCACGGAGGCTACCCAGTGTTACACGCAGCGATGCAGTGTGAGGCATTAGACACGGATCACCAAAACTCTATGGATTCTCGTTTTACGGAGGGCCCGTGACGCAGCGCAGCAGAACAACCACACGTGTCAGGGGGGGGGGCAAGGGGGGGGGGTGGCCAGGGGGGGTGGCCGGGGTGGGGGGGTTGGCCGCTGAGTCGGGAGGGTGCCGTCCCGTGCTGGGATCAGGTCGGGGAGTTGGGGTCGGAGAGCGCGGAATCCGGGGCGTGACCCCCAATGCCCGACGGAAATCGTGCCAGCTTCTAACTGTATCTGGAAGGGAAGCAGCGAGGTTCTTTTTTATTCGTGAATTAAAACAAAGAGACAAAACTTGCGACGCGACCCCCCTCCCCCCTCCCCCCTCTTAAACATCGAAACCCTGCGCTCGTCTCTCCCACGCACGTCCGTGAGCACGTGGAACCCCGCACGTAGCAAAGGTCACGGCTGTCGCTGTTGCAAATTGTATCCCCAATTGTTGCCTGTCCGCCCGGCGACAAGAGAAGGTGCTCGCCATCGCGACGTCCATGGCCACGGCCATGGACGTCGCCCCCAACGGTCTGTTACAGGCTACATGGGTGATCTTTGTCTTTGTAGCGGTTCGCACGCTGCGCTATGAATCCGGCGAGCCGGGTTCAATTCCCGCTTGCAACAACCAACACCGGTGACGAATATCTGAATCGGTCCTGGGCCTCCCCTAGGTCGATTCAGCCTCAAATTTATACCTGGTGCAGTGTGTAGTAAACATCGCCACTGGGGAGACAAAGGCGGTCGGGCGTGGTGTTGGCACACCCCACCCCCTCGTGTGCCATGCCGGCCTTCATAGGTAGCTCGCTAACAGCATTTGCCCCAACACTCTGTTAAGGCTACATGGGGGATCTTTGTCTTTGCGTGTGTTCTTGCACGTAGCATGTCCATGGAGGTGTGCGTCGAGGGGGGCGCTCCCTGGGGGTTCCGTCTGGCCGGGGGTCGTGATGTCAGCAGGCCTCTCCTCATCACACAGGTACCGCCCTCATGACACCACCACAACCACCACCACAACCACCGCCACGGTCGCCATTCGCAACTCGGTGGTGGCGGCGGCGTCACCACGGCGCTTGTGCCAGGCCAAGTGCACGTTAAGGCCACGTGGAGTGTCAAACGCCCGTTGCCAGGAGGTCACGGGACAGACCCAGGTGCCGTCGATTGACTGAGACGACCGGCTGATGCAACACCCGTGCCCCCTACCGTGCCAACTTGACGTGTTTTAGCCGCCCGGCGCTCCGCTCATGAAACACAATGACCCAATCACTTCAACCCACGTCTACAGCTACTTCAGCAAGATTACACATTTCATGCACGTTATGACAGCACGGGTCTCTGTGTCTGTGTGTGGGGAGCTGTCGTGTCACGTTTAGCGACACGACAGCCAACACCGCTAACGCTGATCTGAACCGGTCCGGACATTGTCACCGAGGCAGCGATTGTAGTGTCACAGTGGAGACTCCATTGTAGTGTCACAGTGGAGACTCCATTGTAGTGTCACAGTGAAGACTCCACTGTAGTGTCACAGTGAAGACTCCATTGTAGTGTCACAGTGAAGACTCCACTGTAGTGTCACAGTGGAGACTTCATTGTAGTGTCACAGTGGAGACTCCATTGTAGTGTCACAGTGAAGACTCCACTGTAGTGTCACAGTGGAGACTTCACTGTAGTGTCACAGTGGAGACTCCATTGTAGTGTCACAGTGGAGACTCCATTGTAGTGTCACAGTGGAGACTCCATTGTAGTGTCACAGTGAAGACTCCATTGTAGTGTCACAGTGGAGACTCCATTGTAGTGTCACAGTGAAGACTCCACTGTAGTGTCACAGTGGAGACTCCACTGTAGTGTCACAGTGGAGACTCCATTGTAGTGTCACAGTGGAGACTCCACTGTAGTGTCACAGTGGAGACTCCATTGTAGTGTCACAGTGGAGACTCCATTGTAGTGTCATAGTGGAGACTCCATTGTAGTGTCACAGTGGAGACTCCATTGTAGTGTCACAGTGAAGACTCCATTGTAGTGTCACAGTGAAGACTCCATTGTAGTGTCACAGTGGAGACTCCATTGTAGTGTCACAGTGAAGACTCCACTGTAGTGTCACAGTGGAGACTCCATTGTAGTGTCACAGTGGAGACTCCATTGTAGTGTCACAGTGGAGACTCCATTGTAGTGTCACAGTGGAGACTCCATTGTAGTGTCACAGTGGAGACTCCATTGTAGTGTCACAGTGGAGACTCCACTGTAGTGTCACAGTGAAGACTCCACTGTAGTGTCACAGTGAGACTCCACTGTAGTGTACGGACTCCATGTAGGTCACAGTGAAGACTCCATTGTAGTGTCACAGTGGAGACTCCATTGTAGTGTCATAGTGGAGACTCCATTGTAGTGTCACAGTGAAGACTCCATTGTAGTGTCACAGTGGAGACTCCATTGTAGTGTCACAGTGGAGACTCCATTGTAGTGTCACAGTGAAGACTCCATTGTAGTGTCACAGTGGAGACTCCATTGTAGTGTCACAGTGAAGACTCCATTGTAGTGTCACAGTGGAGACTCCATTGTAGTGTCACAGTGAAGACTCCATTGTAGTGTCACAGTGGAGACTCCATTGTAGTGTCACAGTGAAGACTCCATTGTAGTGTCACAGTGGAGACTCCATTGTAGTGTCACAGTGGAGACTCCATTGTAGTGTCACAGTGGAGACTCCATTGTAGTGTCACAGTGGAGACTCCACTGTAGTGTCACAGTGAAGACTCCACTGTAGTGTCACAGTGGAGACTCCATTGTAGTGTCACAGTGGAGACTCCACTGTAGTGTCACAGTGGAGACTCCATTGTAGTGTCACATTGGAGACTCCATTGTAGTGTCACAGTGGAGACTCCATTGTAGTGTCACAGTGGAGACTCCATTGTAGTGTCACAGTGAAGACTCCATTGTAGTGTCACAGTGGAGACTCCATTGTAGTGTCACAGTGGAGACTCCATTGTAGTGTCACAGTGGAGACTCCATTGTAGTGTCACATTGGAGACTCCATTGTAGTGTCACAGTGGAGACTCCACTGTAGTGTCACAGTGGAGACTCCATTGTAGTGTCATAGTGGAGACTCCACTGTAGTGTCACAGTGGAGACTCCATTGTAGTGTCACAGTGGAGACTCCATTGTAGTGTCACAGTGGAGACTCCACTGTAGTATCACAGTGGAGACTCCATTGTAGTGTCACAGTGGAGACTCCATTGTAGTGTCACAGTGGAGACTCCACTGTAGTGTCACAGTGGAGACTCCACTGTAGTGTCACAGTGGAGACTCCATTGTAGTGTCACAGTGGAGACTCCACTGTAGTGTCACAGTGGAGACTCCACTGTAGTGTCACAGTGGAGACTCCATTGTAGTGTCACAGTGGAGACTCCATTGTAGTGTCACAGTGGAGACTCCACTGTAGTATCACAGTGGAGACTCCATTGTAGTGTCACAGTGGAGACTCCATTGTAGTGTCACAGTGGAGACTCCATTGTAGTGTCACAGTGAAGACTCCACTGTAGTGTCGCAGTGGAGACTCCACTGTAGTGTCACAGTGGAGACTCCACTGTAGTGTCACAGTGGAGACTCCATTGTAGTGTCACAGTGGAGACCCCCCCAGCTCTGTATCCTCAGGTATTACCCTCCTAGGCTGCCTCTCAGGTCTCCCTCCAGCAATTCCTCCAAACTCTCCTGCCATCTTCAAATCAAGATCCTCCTGCCAAGGTCTCCTCCAAGGGCTCACCTCCCACGTCAATCCTTCCCAGCTCTGCCCAACCCACGGCCACCCTTCCTTGCCCAGCTCTCACCCCCAAGTCATCTCCCCCCGCACGCACGGACTCCGTGCTGGGGACGTCCGTGCCACACGGAGCGAGTTCACGCTTGGGCTGTGTCTACCACACGCTCGGAGCAGTGGGCGGTGGAGGAGACGGCTCGGAGCAAGGAGCCGAGCGCCGGGCAGAGCCGGCGCTGCCAGCGGCTGACGGAGCCGCCTTGGACTGCTGCTGCTGCTGCTGTACGACAGAGGCACAAGTCTGCCCAAGTTGGGATGCTGTTGTACTTGGTAGAGCAGTCAGGGTGACCCATGGTCTGGCACTCGCTCGTTTCGTCTGGTCACTCAATCTGACGGCGGTCAGTCGCCTCCTTGGTAATCGTCTGTAGCTACTGCCGTGGCCACGGTCGCTGTCCCCGTGCACGGCACTCGGTCCACCAGACACTGACCCTCTCGTATCACCCACCACACTGTGCTCAACCACCACACTGCAGGTCACAACAACACACTCACTCACCCACTCACCACACTGCAGGTCACAACAACACACTCACTCACCCACTAACCACACTGCAGGTCACAACAACACACTCACTCACCCACTCACCACACTGCAGGTCACAACAACACTCACCCACTCACCACACTGCAGGTCACAACAACACACTCACCCACTCACCACACTGCAGGTCACATCAACACTCACCCACTCACCACACTGCAGGTCACAACAACACTCACCCACTCACCACACTGCAGGTCACAACAACACACTCACCCACTCACCACACTGCAGGTCACAACAACACACTCACTCACCCACTCACCACACTGCAGGTCACAACAACACACTCACTCACCCACTAACCACACTGCAGGTCACAACAACACACTCACTCACCCACTCACCACACTGCAGGTCACAACAACACTCACCCACTCACCACACTGCAGGTCACAACAACACACTCACCCACTCACCACACTGCAGGTCACAACAACACACTCACTCACCCACTCACCACACTGCAGGTCACAAAACACACTCACTCACCCACTAACCACACTGCAGGTCACAACAACACACTCACTCACCCACTCACCACACTGCAGGTCACAACAACACTCACCCACTCACCACACTGCAGGTCACAACAACTCACTCACCCACTCACCACACTGCAGGTCACAACAACACTCACCCACTCACCACACTGCAGGTCACAACACACTCACCCACTCACTCACTGCAGGCCACAACAACTCACCCACTCACCACACTGCAGGTCACAACAACTCACTCACCCACTCACCACACTGCAGGCCACAACAACTCACTCACCCACTCACCACACTGCAGGTCACAACAACTCACCCACTCACCACACTGCAGGTCACAACACTCACCCACTCACCACACTGCAGGCCACAACACTTCTCTTTCTGCTACTTCCCTCCCACTGCTCCACTTTTGATTTCCCTCCCACCACCACCATCATCATCGTCGTCGTCTCTCTTCCCCCAAGCTCTTAAAACAACAACAGCAACAACCAAAACCTTGCTCACTTAACGAAACCGCGTTACACCCTTTGAATCCCTCACGACGGTTCTCGTGCTGTTCGTGGCGTGCAGCTTCAATTGTTGGATGTGCTCTGCATTTCCACACGGCATATACAATAACATACACTTGTGCAGTGAGAGCGTGTGTGTGTGTGCGTGCGTGCGAGTGCGTGTCAGTTCGTGTGTGTGCGAGTGTGTGTGTGAGTGCGTGTCTGTGTGAGTGCGTGTCTGTGTGTGAGTGCGTGTCTATGTGTGTGTGCGTGTCTGTGAGTGCGTGTCTGTGCGTGTGTGCGTGTCTGTGAGTGCGTGCGTGTGAGTGCGTGTCTGTGTGTGTGCGAGTGTCTGTGTGTGTGTGCGTGTGTGTGAGTGTGTCTGTGTGTGCGTGTCACTGTGTGTGTGTGTCTCTGTGTGCGTGTCACTGTGCGTGTGTGTCTCTGTGTGTGTGTGTGAGTGTCTCTGTGTGTGTGTGTCACTGTGTGTGTGTGTCACTGTGTGTGTGTGTCTCTGTGTGTGTGTCTCTGTGTGTGTGTGTCACTGTGTGTGTGTATGTCACTGTGTGTATGTCACTGTGCGTGTGTGTCACGCGTTAAGTGAGAACCCGCGAGCGACTGCACAGTGCACTCAGCCTGGCAGCT